AAATTTACTAAAATTAGGTTGATAAAGAATAAATATTATTTCTAAAATCTTTTATCTTTATATTTTAACTGGAAAAATAGACATAGTATTAAACAATGTACAATATAAAAAACATTAATAGATTTTAGGGATTATTTCATACATAAAATATAGTACAGTGACGGACAGGAGTTCTAGTTACATTTTTACAGTTTTCTGCACTGATTCTACAAACGATAGCTTGCTCTTAACCTACCAGTATCATAGAATAGTGTTGTGTATTGTTTACGATAGAGGAGAAGGAAAATACTCTGTTCTATAGTGATTCCAGCACAGAAAATAAATTAAGAACCAAAAATGGATTTCCAAAATCGTCCTGGAGGGAAAACCGGCGGTGGAGGTGTTGCTTCCTGGTCGGAAAGCAACAGAGACAGAAGAGAACGTTTGCGACAACTTGCATTGGAAACTATTGACTTAAACAAAGATCCTTATTTTATGAAAAATCATTTAGGATCTTACGAATGTAAATTGTGTCTGACACTCCATAACAACGAGGGTAGTTATTTAGCTCATACACAAGGAAAAAAGCATCAGGCCAATTTAGCCAGGAGAGCTGCTAAAGAAGCTAAGGAGGCTCCACAAACACTTGCACCTGAAAAGCCTCGAGTAGAACCAAAGAAATTTGTAAAAATCGGTAGGCCAGGTTACAGAGTAACTAAACAACGCGACCCGGAAACTGGACAACAGAGTTTATTGTTCCAAGTTGATTATCCAGAAGTTGCAGACAATGTAATTCCACGGCACAGATTTATGTCAGCCTACGAACAAAGGGTTGAACCACCTGATCGTAAATGGCAGTACTTGTTATTCGCAGCAGAACCTTATGAAACAATAGCTTTTAAGGTAAATTACACATAAAATGAAATGACTATGCGGACAAGCTTGTATAGAGATTTAATTTTCTTAAATGTGTATCTCTTGTTTAGGTACCTAGTAGAGAAGTTGAGAAAGCAGAAGGAAAGTTTTGGACGCATTGGAACAAAGATACCAAACAATTCTTCCTACAATTTGCATTTAAAAATGAAAAGCCTTCAGTTGGCAAAGTACCACCACCTCCAGTACCTTTAATTAGACCTGGCTTAGGACCACCAATGGTGCCTGTGCCACCACCACCAAGACCACCAATGTTTAATCCAGTTCCACCACCACCTGCACTTTTAGCCACTGGAATGCAAATACCTCCGCCACCTCCACATTTAGCATAATAATAACATAAATCTGTACAGCCCTTTTAAAGCAAGAAAGGTATCTTTTACTTATAAAGTATTACTTTAATGTGTATCTTGTCTATAAAATATGAAACTCAATTACTATTGTTATATTCAATCCCTATGATAACTATTTGCAGAAGATAAAGAAAAAGTGTACAAATTTCCTTTTTTTGGTTGTTTAAATTTTATTAAGAATATAAACACAAGAGAATGTACAGCAAGATGTTCCGCCCAGATGTTGATCCCTAGAACAAAAAACCAGAAATACACTTATTATATGTGTTAAAAACATATTTAAGTGCTATTGAAGAAAGTAATTTTTTATCAGAAATAAATTTGAACAATCTACACGATATAAAGTGTTGTACGCACTTTTCGGTCCGCCCGTTCGCATTATCATCATACTCAATATACAATTATTTTCTTACCTTGATTATTATTATAATAAAAATAATACAATAATATCAATGTTATAATATGTACCTGCATTTTTAAGCAGAAAGGACACATGCACCTCCAACAGCCTTGATTTTGTCTTCTGCCAATTTGCTGAAGAATTTGGCTTTAACAATAACTGGTTGTTTAGGAAGACGTCCTTTTCCTAGCAGTTTGTAGTATCCCTGAAAAAACAAGATGTGAAATGCAATGATGAGTACAAATTTAAATACCAATATAAATACATGTGTTCATGTTTCAAAATTTACCGCTTTCACAAGATCAATCACTGGTACTTTGCTCTTTGAATCCTTATATTTAAGCCTGTTTTGTTCTGACACCAGTGTCCACAATTTATCCAAATTTAAAGCAGGGCACCACTTTGTGTTCCGTCTCAAGTGGTAATTTCGCATACCAAGCTGTAAATAAAAATATAACATTTATATTCATTTTAATTTTTATACAGTATCATACACTGAATTCACGTGTAAGTAATCAGAATAAATACTGCATTCAAAGTAATTCAGTTCGCCGGTGAAATAAATATTATCATCATATAATACACGCAACATTAATACGGATGATTTATATCAGATAAATGTGCTTACCTTTCCAAAGTAGCCAGGATGGTATTTGTCAAAGTTGATACGATGGTGGTGAAGACCACCAGCATTACCACGACCTCCAGGATGTTTCCTGTGCTTACCTATACGACCGTGACCATGGCTGACATGACCGCGGAGCTTCCTGGTCTTCTTTTTGTGTGTAGACTATTTAAGAAAATCAAAATAAATTAGAAATATCAGTTGATCAATAACGAAACATATAAAAAAAAATAACAAAATATTAATTTTGTTATAGAGGTTATGTTTGAATACAAACGCAACACCATAAGGTTAAAATTTATAAGCAGTGTACGATTGTACACTTCGAAAGAAAAATAATAATCCTAAAATATTATTCTTTGATGTATTAGTGATATTGTCATCGTGATTATTATTTCATTTTCATTCAGATGCTTTCAATATTTTCCGATTACGAAAGAAGAATTTAAACATTACTCACTCACCATCTTGGTTACGATGTGAAGAAAGAAGCCTAACTTTTCGCTTGGAAATAGTCAAATTTCGTCTAGATGGCGCGTATGTTTGTTTCAGTTTCAACAGTAATTTCACCATGAACCATAGATTACTAAAGTAACGGAAACTGTCAATAAAATTTATATAGACTCGAATAATTTTAGTAAATTGTAAACATAAAAAAGTTGTCAAACATTTAACTGTATAGGTATATATAACCTTTAAATACGATATACATTTTTTAGATAGAGTCAGGACTTCAATCATAATATCAGTCAACCTTTGTGATTGGTCGAACGATAAAAAAGAGTAAATAAATCGTGGTGTCATACACGAATAATAACATTTTTCAACCGAATGATTCAAACGAGTATACCACTTTTCCAGAAGAAAGTATAAATCATTCCCGATACTAATAAGGAATCATGGCAAGTGGGAAAATGAAAATTGACGAAGATTTTATTGGAAAACTTGTAGATGAGGCTGCTAAAGTAGTTGTGCTAAATATTCCAAGTGGTACAGAATTTGGAATTGATTTAAAGACTTGGAGAGTAACCGATAGTTTTATGGGCATCAGAATGATTCCACCAGGATTTCATTACGTGCATTACAGGTGAATATAGATAATTTAATATTTTTTTATACATTTATTACATTTGTATCTATTCCTTTGTGTTAAAGTGCTGTGAATAGGATCGGAGAGCCAGCACCTAGAATTGGATTCTTTCATACATTTAGCATATCTGAATTTTTAGTCAAGAAGTGGGATGAAGAAGCAGAAGATTTTAGTGTAGAAGGTATATATTATTTTTTGAATAAATCAAATCCTTCATTAATAAAACAGAATTTAATATTCAGCTGTACCAGAAGAAGTAGTTCAAAGATTAAAGAGTAACTCGAAACAGTTGGACAGATATTTAGCATGCTATCCTTTTGATATATGGATAAAGTGGATAGACTTAACAAATCTTATCAGGCCTTCATTAGCTGAACGTTGTGCACCTGTGTGTGGGTCAGTAGAAGGACATTAGAATTTATAAATGTCTGTTATTTATCTCTAATTTATTATAACATTGCATACCTTATTTTAGAGTTGTCAGGTCAGCTTTAGAGTTAGAGCATTGTACCGATGCAATGAGACCAAGAGGTGGAGTATTAAGTCCAAGAAGGAAGAAAAGATGTGGAATCACTGTAGAAGAAAGGGAGAACGAACTACTTCCTGATATGAAACCTGTACCAGGCACAGATCTTCGGTTCACCAAATTGCCAACTAAATATTATCCAGATAACGCATCACCAAGCGAGATCACAATGCATTCCCTTGACTCCAGCTATGCGTTGGAGACATTTTTGAGACAATTACCACAGTAAGACTGTAGATTACTTTTCTTTCTTGTATATGTTCAGATATGATAAACATGGTTTAATTAATTTTTTCTAGCCCCCTAGAAATTATTGGTGAAATGCAGTTGGCATTTGTTTGTTTTCTGGTTGGACAAAGTTTGGATTCCTTTGACCATTGGAAGAAACTTATAATTCTTATATGCGATGCTGACTCTGCAATACCGAAACTACGAGGGATTTACATCGCATTTTTGAAAGCGATAGAGACTCAACTGACGCATGTACCTGATGATATACTTTGCGATATTGTCGATAACAACAATTTTATATACCATAGTCTTCGGAAGCTTTTTGCAACTATAGAGGAAAATTCACGTATAGACAGTCGTTTGAAATGCCAAGCTTCGCACTTCCGTGATCGGTTAAAAGCGAAGTTAGCGTGGGATTTTTCTGACATGCACGAAGTCAACGAGGATGAGGCGCCCGTAATCGTGTCTTTAGATTAAAAAAATTCTAGATGTATATTTTCAGTGAAGACTAAGAGTTTAAATTATAAACGCCATAAGATATATATATATATAAACTTGTTTCATATAAATATTTGTTTTTATTAAGGATATATAAATAAATGTATTACAAGGCATAAATGAAATTAAACATATTTTAAATTATACATTATGGTAATTATATGAAAATTTTAAATGCATCTTTATATCGGTACGTTTTATCAATTGTCAGTGGATATTCGTTATGAGGTGTTCGCAGGCTGTTGTCGCATGTTTCCGTAGCTGTCCTTGCTCGAGTTCCAGGTTCAATGAAAACGCTGAAACAAATCAGAATACTTATGTTATATTTTCTATTAACTATATACATTAAATTTATAATTACAATATTTACCGGTGGTGGGGGAGTTGGAAAGTATATTGTGCCATGAGTTACAGGTTCCGGCTCTGCTTCACGGCGAAGACGCTGAAAAATGTAAATAAATTTATTGTAATCTTCTATATATTAATGTAGGTATTACTAGGATTATATAGTATATTTTGATGAACACTTACAGGATGCGGTGGGCGAGGAGGAGGAACGTAGATTGGCCTAGGCTGGGGATTCTGAACTGGCCACTTTCCAGGTTCAGGTTCTGGGTCGGCCTCACGACGGAGACGCTGGAAAGTATGAATAAAAGTGTTATTACAATATTCTCCATCCCAGTCTCATTGATGCAATTACTAGATTTTGATAAATGCTTACAGGGTGTGGCGGACGTGGGGGAGGAATGTACACTGGCCTGTTTGCGGGTTCAGGTTCTGGGTCGGCCTCACGACGGAGACGCTGGAAAGTATGAACAGAAGTGTTACTACAATATTCTCCATCTCGATCACATAGATGAATTACTAGATTTTGATAAATGCTTACTGGATGTGGCGGTCGTGGAGGTGGAACGTATACTGGTTTATGTGCGGGTTCAGGTTCTGGGTCGGCCTCACGGCGAAGACGCTGAAACATGGACTATATATAATACATAAAATGACTGAACTTTAGTAAATGCTTACGATGTGCGGTGGACGTGGCGGTGGTCTTGTTATGGACATAGGTTCTGGATCAGGTTCACGGCGAACGCGCTGCAGGAAATGAAGGAATAGTTACATAGGTGTGTATTTATATCAGTGGTGTAACGGAATTTGTATAATATTATATCGAATGTTTATTTTACCATATGGGATGATTCAGATTGTTCTTTGGCCACCTGTCCTGCTGCCATCGTCGCAAAGACGACGGCTAAAATTGTTAGGGCGACGAAGCTCTTCATGGTTGAAGCGTTCTTCATCCGCTAATATTTAGTATTTTCTAGTCTATGAAAGTAATAAATTAATTATGGTAGTTGTCAATGTTTATTTAATGTTAATGTGTTGACTTTAATAATAAGCGATGTCTTACCAGTGACTTCTGTCTAGTAGGTAGGTGCTGCGGATTGACGGAAACTGATGTCTGTTGCATCGAACCACAGCGTATTTATACGAAACGTTTGACACGCCTGTACTATCTATAAGAAAGTTCAAGGTCCTGAGGCATGTGCCGGGAACCACCGTGTACGCGACAGAAATGGCCGATAAATTTGCTCTTTTTTCTTACCGATTTTCCTGTAATCGCTCATTGCTCAAAAAAGAGTTACGTTGATTGCATGTCGTTTCACTAGATACTGTATTGTTCAGTGCTTACTAATAATTATATGTTTATTGTTACTTTATACAGTTTCTCTTTCTTTGTCGTGTCTATACATTCTCGTGAACTGCAGACTATTGTCTCTCGTACTATACAGTTTATTGTATTTACTGATGGAGCTTATGAAAATTATAACAATCCTTAAACGAGGGTCATGCAATAAAGAAATATTTCAAGGACGAATTAAAAATTGAACTTCTATTTAAGCTGCAATTCAAAATTCGATTTTAAGCTGATATTCGAATTCAAATTCAATTCAATTCAATTCAATTCAATTCAATTCAATTCAATTCAATTCAAATTCAAATTCAGATTAAAATTCAATTCAAATTCAAATTCTCATTTACAGTTAAATTTGATTCGAAGTCAAGTATAAATTCGAATTAGGAAGTCCAAACTTCAATTACTGATGCAGCAGAATATAAAATGTTGACAGTAATAATATTTCCGTAAATATTTACAAAACGATGCATCATCTGTACTATACACATGGAGTCAGCTGAAACCTGATTGCCATATAAAAATGCGCCGACCGTTCGGGGATCACCGTAGATAGGCACAGTAAAAACAGACCGTTCGTTTTTCCTGGTAGGATTCCCCTTCGTATTTAAACTAGTCGTTCGCGCGATGCGGACGCTTAGCAAGCTCTCGCTTGTTTACATTCCCAACACAGACTTGCATATTCATCTCTTTGTCAATGCACACTCGCGCACACTTTGCAATCTGAGTAACGATAAGAACTTCGATCGTGTTCGATGACTGCATCGAATTACATGACGATTACACTCCATTTCTCATCTGCATCCTCTATTCGCATGATTCGCGTTTCGTCCAAAAAAAAATGTTTCCGCCCGGGATCGAACCGGGGATCTTCCGCGTGTTAGGCGGATGTGGTAACCGCTGCACCACGGAAACCGATGGTACGTGGAATATCTGGCAATTTTCGTCTTCGGCGTGTCGAACAACCATTAACTCCTTGGCGTGCTATTTTCTTTCGTTACTAAGCTCGTGTAATATTTTACTGTCGACAATTTGTGAGAAATACAACAAAATTTTCCATTCTACTTCAGGTGGAAATTTCATTTGAAGATAATGCATTGAAGCAAAATAGTTTGCTTTGATCCGTGGGTAATGAACAACGTTGATTCTTGTTAAATTAGCTTAGAAATTTTCATCGGAATTCAGTTACTTTCTAAAAACCTTCCAGTTTCAATACTTCTTCCCACAGACTCTTTACACGTACATCTTCATTGACTCGTTAACTAACGTTTATTCGGACGTAAAACTTTCAAATAATCGACGGAACATATACAGTTTACATTACTTCTTTCTTACGGAAAGATTCTTAGCGTCCCAATAAACTATTATTCCTGTTTGACGGGTGTAAAATTTGGCTGTACAGAAACAGAGACGTAGTCGCGCTTTATTTCCAAACATCCTTTATTTTGTACAAATTAACGCACTTACAAAGTAGCTCGATGTCTCGTTAATCAATCAAGGAACAGGTTGCGCGCTGTTCTCAAGGTTTCGTTTCTCCTCGGACAGCAACGACACCTTCTCCTCGTACTTCTCCCGGAGGTCCCGGAAAAGACGGAGCTGCGTTTCGTACTCCTTCTTCAGGTCCGCGTTCAGCTTCACCGCGGCGTCCATTTTGTTTATCATGGTGCTGTAGCGTTCGCGTTCCTCTGAGATTCGCTCCTCCATCTCGTCGACCTCCGACTATGAAATTCGAGGAGAATACATTTAAACTTTTGCACTCTATAGATATATATAGATAGAGATAATAGAGATAAATAGATAGTTGATAACGACGATGTTGTCGTATCGATGAGAATCGAGAAAGAAATCATAGGGCAAGGGGTTAACGAATCAACAGTTCCTATGGATCAATGAACGTCTGATGACTCAATGATTCTTCGCTTTCAGACGGTTTACCTGAAGCTGTTTCACCTCCAAATTACGGATCTGCAGGAGGCTCCTCGTGAGGGACTCGACTTCCTTCAGCGAAGCTACTTGGCTGTTCAGCGCACTGATCTGTTTCTCCTGATTGGACACGGTTCGGATACGGTCCTCTAATTGCAAAGAGGTGTGGACCAGTTTCGCCTTCAGCTGATCCACCATACGGCGAAGCAGAACCTCGTCCCCTTCGCCTTTCAACAGAGCGTCGTACGATACCTGGAGCTCGGCTAGTTTCTTCTCGGTTTTCTCTAGCTTCTGCTGATAGCAGTTACGCTCCATGGTAGTCTTCTGCGAATTAGAAATTGTCATGATTCACTGTAACAGCGACTTAGACATTAACGCTTTGCCGCGCATTAATACTGCATTTTCAAAGATATTGTATAATTTTGTAATAGATCGAAACTTTCGAGTTTCAAACGAATAGAAGCATCCGCTCAACACGTTAAGCGCCATGTCAGCCACTGGTGACTGACGCTTCTGAATGACTAAAAAACAATCGTAACATACGAGACAACCGATATGAAATAAAAACGTTTAATAAGGCAACTAAGTTGATAATAGTGTAACGCAAACGTTGCAACGCCAAACAATTCATAAGTATTCCTACTTTTCTTTGCTACAAAAGACAAACTCTATGGGAAAACGCTTAAGATTTTCGTGGCGCTTAACGTGTTAACCAATTTGCATGGCTCTGCTTGAGTTTCTATGTTCAGGCATCAGTGACGCTCAACTGACGGTTGGTCTGTATTACCGCGCGCAGCCGTGCATCGGCAATTTAGGCGATCGTGCGAGGAATTACGTTTAAGGATGCAAATGGTTCGAAGGTTTGGACAAAAGACGATCTGATAAATTGGGAAGGGAGAACAGTGGAAGCACTGGTGGGATGGTATCCAGGAACAAAGGCGAACACGATATCCTGCGAATAAACAGTAGCTCGCACCTTGATTTCTTCCGTCAGCTTCGATATCACAAGCTTGTCGTCGCTAGCTTTCGAATTCTCATCCGCGACCACTTTACTTTCTGGGGGTGCTAACTGATCGCCGATCTGCTTGCCAGGCTGCTGATCGCTGGCTTCTTTGTCAGGACGCGGCAGCGAACAGGTATCTCCAGCGCCTATAGCTGCTTGCTCTTGAAGTTCAGCTACTCTCGACTATAAAGAGAACACCGGATTTCGTGGGCATACAATAGAGAGATCGTCATGTTTACAATTAATCCTCGAGTGTTCTGAAGCTTAGGAACCATCAGATTCAAGATTATAAGATTATAGGACTGCATAATTATTGAAAGATATAAACGAATCTGTTTCTGAAGTCGATTGACCAGAGTAGAGCCGGAGTAGCCAAAGACTATATGGCTAAAGGTCAACTAATTTTGTTTCGACTGCGTTCAATCGCCGCGTCGAAACATCGTCAAACGGAGGTTCGAATTTGGTACTCTATGAGATCGGAATTTTCCGAATATTCCTCTATTTTTAGGATACCCGGTGATCTCCGTTTCAACACTGGAACTACCGAGCATTTAACGTGGTTCATATGTCATCGGACATAGGTTATAGTAATCAAGTGGAACTATTAACTTTCGAAATTATTTTGAATATTCAACACTTTTAGGGTATCAATACGAAGCAAGGATATCGAAACCAGTCATTTTGACGTAGTTCTAGTGTTAACCCTTTGCACTCGACAGTTTGCTAGAAATATTCAATACTTCTGATAAAATATAGACGATGCTTTTAATGTAACTAATTTAATCGATTTAAGGGACAAAAGTATTTTACTATGAGATTTCACATAATATTGATTTCACATCAGTAACATCAAGCTTTATAATTCAACCGTATCAAACCAAGTGACCGAAAGCTTCATTCGAAGTATTCAACACTTCCTAATTAGATGTAGACAAGATTCTCTAAAATGAATTTACCAAATCACACGTAAATTAGGCAACAAAGCTATTTCCTCTCAATATTTCACACATCGATGTGTGCAAAGCTTAATGGCAAATGCCAAGGTTTCTAATTTTCCTGTATCAAATCATCTGGAAGTCACCTCTCGAGTGCAAACGGTCAACGGAGGATCCTGCGTGAAATTTACCGATGGCTCGCTGTTGCATTCGGGGACCGTTGCATTTTCCTCGACTGGTTTTTTCGGATCAATTGCAGCCTCGCTTTCGACCGCCGCCCCGTTTATCGGGACGGTCTCGTTGTTGATCTCGGCCACGTTTGTTTCGTTTTTCGGTGTATCTGCACTTTGACCTCTCGCGTCTTGCGCAACCTCCGGCGCCGCGGCTTCTGGAGGGGAAGCTCCCTCCGCCGCGGGGGCGGATGCATTTTCGGCACCACTCGGAACTGCATTCCCCGCGTTGCACGGTTCTTGGCTCGCGTCCGATTTAACTGTCTCCGCGTCTGACATTTTTCTCCGGCAGGAACGTCACTTTTACGAATGCTGGAACAGAAGAACAACGACATCGTTTCATGGGAATGTTCACCGTGCTTCGCGACCACGTTTATTCGTAGTGCGAATGAAATAATTGACGAATCAACTGAATTCTCTACGAAAGAAATTCTTCGGTACGTGACGTTTCTTTTCCATTGTTTTTAACCCTTTGCATTTGGAAGGTGACTCAGTCTTGATCTGACGCAGTAGAATTATAAAATCTGATAAACACGTTGAATGACATGGAGTCACCGGTGACCCAGACGAAATTCGGTTATTCTCCATTGAACGATTATTTGAAAACATTCCTTTATTATAAATAACGCTACCTAACGCGGCGACATTCTGGAAGACAAACCTGCGATAATTCTTTTGATTAATTTAACGTTGCATTGTGCACCTTAAAATCGTGCGGCGTTCCACGCATTAACATTGAACTCTGTATACGTGAAATATTCGAATAAAACAGGTTTGTTCCTCGATGTACTTGATTTCGATTTAGTTTCAAAGAACATTGTCTCGTCAAAAGATGTTGAATATTTCTACTGAGAAACTTCCGAGTGCAAAGGGTTGAACCATGGAAAACCTGAATATTATAATAAAATATTCTTTATTGAATTTTTTTTTCTCTCCCGATCTACACTGTTATTCGTTGGTCCAGTTTCAGATAGGTACGCGTTGTTACAAACAACACATTATTTCCAAAGTTCTCGTTTAAAATGGAACGACACGGAATCGATCGGAGTCGACGTTTCCGGGCTCGAAAGGTATCTCCGTCTCCGCTGTCGGTACACCGGAACCATTCGTACAAGAACCATTCGCACAAGCACCGAGAATTCAATTCGAAATTACCGAGTGGCTCGAGGGACGAACGGTTGTCGACGGGCGATACGTCTTCTTCGAACGTGATCGATACTTTCACGCGAACCGACTGGATATCCAGTACTGACCGAAAGTCTAATGTATTTTTGGACGTTCTACGGCTCATTCTATTTTAAACTATCGTAGATGTGCGCCAGTCGAACGACCAGCAAACGAAAAATCGTACGCGCGTTAAACATAAGCGTTTCGCGTACGAACGCATCGTTTCTGGTCGGTCGACGACACTATCAATTATGCACTTATTAGTAGAGTACTAGTGAGAAG